CTTTGGTTCATTCAACAACTCTGCCTTTTTGAAAAAAAATGGCATTGACCTTTGGGAGGTAAGATGGGGCCTGAAAAGAATCTATTGTTCAGCTTATGAAAAATGTTTTTAAAAAATTATCCCAAACAGTACAGAGGATTACCGTGTTTACCCATTAATTTTGTCTCCAGATACTTTACAAAGAAAACAGCCACAGGGCTCTCATACTCGGTACAGCCAGACTGAGGAAGCTGAGTGCTCTGCATGACCAAAGATGGCAAAAGTCCACGTGGTCTCCCCTGCAGACATTTGGGGAATGACGCTGAGACAAGTTCCAAAAGCATCTTTAGAAGCAAATGGCAGGCGTAAAAGGGTCTGCCCTGAGGATTTACGTGGCTGAGGTCACAAGCAGGTTGTGATGGGGTCTGGAGCAGCTTAGTTCAGACTCATACAGGCACACGTAAGAACCAAGGGTGCATTTCTTGCTTTCGGGCCTTGGGAAAAAGAGAGATACAATGTCTTTCAGCTATTCTCCCAGATTCCACTTCAGCTGATACACACTCCAGTTCCATAAACGACTAAAGGAACTCAAAAGAAGCCCTTTCATTTTCTCAGTTGTAAGGAACTCAAATGCCTTGACAGAGATGCTCTCAACAAAACACAGAACTCAGTGTGAGGAAGAAAGCAAAACTAGAGGAAGTTCTCCAAAAGTAAAGGAAGGGAAGGTGAGAAAAATTGGGGGTGCTGCTATTGTTTGGCAGTCAACAAAAATGAACTTGAAGACTGATGTGTGTGCGAGCGAGAGATTCTTACACTGACACCTCGAAATTGAGAAAAGGGATGAAAAATGAAAGTCCAGGGAGACAGAACATAAATAAATACATAATTGTATGCAACAGAATTATATGCAGAGTAAGTTGGACAAATAACTACAACAGGTTAGACAGTGGGAGGGGCAGATGTTTACCAGGTCTTCCCCTGGGCCATAGTCAAAAAAAGAAGAGATCTGATTCCCTACAACCTTCATGAATTAACTCAGCTGACCAGGTTCTCCAGGGAGTGCCAGCCAGCTGAACTTGGACACTATCTTCTGCTTCTTAATGAAGCCAATAAATAATGATATCATGTCTTATCCTGCTATAGAAATGTAATATCTTAAAGGGGAGAAGGACAGGCATAGAATGTCCTCTACACATTTGAAGAGCACAATGAAAGCCTCTAAAATTCCAGAATATGTTAGGTTACAGCAGGAAGTATCACGGTTAAAAAAAAAAGTCAGCTTAAATTTAATAGTCCGTTTAAATTCCTAGTTGATGGTAATTAGAGAGCAGGCAGTATTTCTTTAAACTCTGCTAGACAGAACTTAATCCAATTTAGGTAATCACTAACCTTTGGGCTTTTTTTTCCTCCTCTCTCTCTCCCCTAAATGAATCCAAGGATTGATCTACAAAGGCCATAAACTGGCAAAGCATAAGAAAAGAATATTTAAAGAGGGAGATTGGATGACTGTTACCTCAAAGAGCCAAGTCCAATTAAAACAGAAACAGGTCTCTCAGGCTCCCTAATTTATACGGCTATAAGCTGGCACTGAATAACAGAGGCATTCCAAGAAGTGAGGGTACTCACACCCCCACTTTTCCCCTCTGGGAACCTCATCCGGCCTGTCAATCACCAAGTTTGTTCTGTAGTGTGACAGCCACTCTTTCCCAGGCCAACCCCTGTCATTCTCTGTATCTCCACATCTCCAGGGTTTGATGATCTCTCCTTCCATGGAATACATACCACGCCTACTGTCACAATTATCCAGATTGTCCCATCACCATCCATTCTTCCAGTACCTCCTACCCTCTCACTGTAGACATCCCATATTGCTCTGGAAATTGACTTCTGATCCAGAAACTTCCACAGGATCTTCTTCAGGACTTGATATCCTGGGTTCTGGATGAAAGGTCTTCAAGTTGTACAGGAAGGACTGACAAGCTTAAATCCAAGGCTGTGCGACGTTGGGGAATTAACAAACTTCTCTGAGCTTCTGTTTTCTCTTCTTAAAATAAAGAAAATAGTAACTGCATGCCTATATTTTGGGGAGCCTCAAATATCATCATCACAGCTGGACCTGACTCACAGAAGTTATCCAATAAATCAGTCTGGTCCAACCATAAGAGTTTCAAATAAATTTTGTATCCTGCCAAATCTTTGGCCCTGCCAAAATGTAAATTAATTCAGGTCCATTTCTGATGTCCCATCATTACTGTCTGTCCTCTGTGTCTGCACCCTCCTTGGCTCCCCGTGTGGACTCTAACTTTACAAAACAAGGACTTCTGCTTACCAAAGTACCACTCCTCCTATTCCCAAATTCCAAACCCGTTATCCTGTACAAAACATTCTGCTCTCAAGTTTCAGCAGCAGAGATATTAATTCACACTGACTGGTTAACAAATGATCGTATCTGTAAGCCATGCCCTTGGTTAAGTATTTACATTTTGCATACAGACAAAAATAATTCAAAGGAAAAATATTTAATGGCAGACACTGTGGGACAATTTTAGAGAGTCTTAGATACTGTTTCTCACATCGACTCTGTATTGGTCTAGCCCTGCAAAAAGAATTAAGGGGGGAAAGCCTGCAATTTAAGTAAAATGCCTGCATATTTTATCTGGTATATGGACAGGACGAAAGATATGATCACGGAGAAACATACACATACACAACCCCAATTCCTTAGGACAGAGAAATCCTGGCGGGGGGGAGTAAAGTTTATAGAATCTTTAATGAACTCAATCTTCTACAGATAAATGGCTTATATGTCGAACATACATTAAATGAACAAACTCAAGGCTATATCTCTTAAGTCTGGACCCTTGGCATAAGGTTTTCAGATAGTATAACAGGTTTCTTAAGGCAAAATTGTGCTATTTTGTGACATGACTAAAAGAAACATTAAAAGTCACCATGGAAATCAACAATAAGATCATATAATCAACTACTGGGGAGCCAAAGGGAAAGTCATCCCCATCCCACAAGACTGGAGTAATGATCTGAAACCTGTTCTGAGCTCCTTGCCTGTGAGTGTGGCCTTAAGACACCTTCTCTAAGCCTCAGTGCATTCTCCTCTATCATGGGTATGGAATAGTTCCTCCATCAGTGTATGCTAAGGATCAGACACTATTCCAGTTCAAAGCTTGACATCCTAAGACTCCACAGGTGTTCGCACCCTCCTCCTTTTCTGTATAAGGGGAACACTTTCAGAATGCTCAAACAGAACATTACCGAAATCCCACCCATGGAAATAAATATACACCTGTGGCTCTCTAGACTTAACAGAAGGGAGGTATTATCCTTGAAAAACAAGTTAGGCTACGTTAATTTGTACTGAGTCTAACTGCGTTTTCTTAAGTGCTTTTCTTCCTATCACACATTAATGATTCCAGCTGTTAGAAGCATCAATGAAACACAAAGGAGAATGGCAAGGAATGGAAAATCTGAAGACTATGCTTCTCTTATGTGCAGGGCTACTTTCTACAGAAATCAACTCACTGAGCCCATCTGCAACCTGAGAGACTGACCTGCTGGGTTCCACACAACTGGAACCTTCCTCAGTTGCACTGGGAACCTCATGGGCTCTAAATTAAAAACCGTGGCTAAATCAGTTTCTGCAAGCTTCACTTACCCTCCTAACCAGTTTGCTGCAATTTATTAGAGTTCAGCATTATGACACTTTGCAGCTGGCAGGACAACGCATTGTCACGACTGCAAACCTAAGGTGGTCAAGATCACCAAAGGGAGGTCAAGTAGGGCAGCCTGCAAGGTTCATTCGTATCTTGCAAGTGATAGAGGGATGGAAGCTATGGGGACTGTGGTTGTCACTGAACTGCTCTGGTGATGGCATGGTCTGATTTTGCAAGTAGCCCCAGGGATGCCTGGAGCTTCTGGCCCAAACCTTTGCCACCATGGGTCTCAGGAGCAGACATGCAGCTGAGCTTCCGCGAATGAGTTTTTCGTCTTGTGCTGTAATTGAAACCTTGTACACCGCAAGATTGCAGTGACGGCTATAAATACTCACTGCTTTACTGCTGACAAACAACGCCGGCTCTGGCCTCTGTGGGGGAAGAGGCGGCGGCATGTGATCGAGGGCAGAGGACGGGTTGAATTGGGGGAAGCCCCTACTGCCAACTAAGGAGGCACCCCAGAGCCTAGTCTGGAAGTACAGTTCGCAACTACCCAACCCATTTTGTCCCCCAGTGGAAATCCCTTTTGAAAATACTGGGCAGGAGAGCTGGGAAGGGAAGGTCCGAGCCACCGAACGCGGCTGCAGAGCGCCCCCTGCGCGCAGTAGCTCGCCGAGCGTGCACAGTAGGCGCGCAGAGAAGAGCGAGGTCAACACCGGAGCAAAAGCGCTAAAGAAAAAGGGACTGGGCGGGCTGAGAGCGCCCAGCTACGGCTGACCGGGCCGCTCCAGGCCTTCACGCCGCCTGCCTCGCTCGTGCAGCCTGCATAGAGCGCGTCCAGGGCGCGGGACCAAGTGGCTGCCTCCCGTCTTCCGCTCCCACGCCTCCCTCCCGAGCAGGATCGGCCCGGGGAAGGCTGTTTTGGAGCTCGAGCGTGGGTAGCTCTGCAGAATTGCCCCTCGGGCCAAGGGAAAACGAGACAAACCAGCAAACAAACGTTTTCTTTTCTCTCTTTTAAATCTCCGGGTTCCGCCTGGGTGCCACAATGGGTACCATGCAGCCCACCCCCCAATCCCACTCATCTCGCAACCTCGCCCACGCCAACCCTGGGACGCCCTGCGCCGCCTCGCCGATCCCCGCCCACACCGTAGGGGTCGCGAGTCTGGACCCCTCGGCGCTCTTAAAGCACTGATCGCGGGATCCCTAACCACGAGGGGTCTCCAACCTGTTGGCCTCAAGATTGTTTCCTCAGTCCCTCTATCTCTCGGTCCCCGCCGGACAGTGCCTGGCGATTTTCTTCCCAATCCTGCGGATTCTAGAAAAATGCCGTCCCTCCCAGTGCTTCCTACTCACCCCTCGCTCGGGGTCCGCAGCGTGAGTTACCGCGAGCAGCACACGCCCGCAGCTCGCCTCTGTCCGGACTCCTCGCGCCTAGGAGCAAGTTTCTGGCGTTCTGCAGAAAGTTTTCTTTCTGGGAAGAGACGAGCCCGGCTCTACCTCCTCCCCTTCCCTCTTCGCCCGGCGTTGCCCTCTCCCGGACGCTCCCAGCCTCGGATCCTCTCCGGCGCGAATCCGCGATCTTTGAGCGCGCGGAGCTCTCCGCGCCTGCTGGCGACAAGTTTCCCTCCTCTCTCAGTTTACGGCCGCCTCCTCCCCCTCCTCCTCCTCCTCCCCCACCTCCGCCTCCTCTACCTCCTCCACCTTCTCCTCCCACTTTTCCTGTCCCGTGTACATCGCTTTAGTCTCTTTCCAACCGCCCCCCCCAACTTGCTTCACCCCATCCCCTCCTCCTGCTGCATCTCACTGGACTGAGGACAGGAGGCCCCAGAGCTTGCACCCAGTAACAATCTCGGGAAACCCAAACTCCTGGGATTTTAAGGAGCCAGTAGGGAGGGTGAAGCAGCTCAAGGGAGCTAAGCGCTGCCCTTCCTCCCCACCGCGGAGAAGCCTAAAGACAAGTGTGGGGCTCCTTCAAGGAGCGAGACCCTGCGGTACAGCGGACGAAAGCTTAGAACTTTGTCTTCAGAAAAAGTTCTCAGGTTGATTGCAGAAGCTGTTTTAAGTGCATTTGTGAAACTTTAATTCCAGTGAGGTCTCTGCATCGGCGTTGCAAAAATACTTTCAATTCTCTTTCCAGCTGAAGGCTTAATGCATAGGAGGCTCCCTCAGAATTTGAAACCACAGCCAATCAACCAATCCGAAAATTTAAAACAATGTAAAATTATTTTCAAAACTTTTTTTTCTAGCAGGTGTTAAGAATTTGATGCAGCTGTTAGGACGCACCGACTTGCACAGTTTCACCCTATGGCGCTGCAGGAAATACTTTTAAAATGCTGCCCCAGCTCATATCACATTTAGGCTTTGAAACCACAGTGACATTTGCTGAAAAAAAATGTATGTTTCTTTTTTGGTCAGAGCTCAACAAAATTGGATTCCCTTTTGGTCACTGTGACCTTCAGAACCTATGTGTTAGGGTTGCTGTAAGGTGGTGGGAGCAGGGGATAGTAGATAATGCTGAAAAATTCTCAAAAAAAAAAAAAAAAAAAAGTCCAGCATAATGAGGAGTCCCTAAATCTCATCCCAGGATCATACAGGGCAGGAGAGCTTGCACCTTCCAGGGGCCTGGGGAAGCAGACTTTGGGAGGGACAGCAAACAGGGTAGACGCTTATGCGAGTCAACATTGAAACCTTTGGTTGTTAGTCAAGTGACTTAATTTTGCTATGACTCAGTTTACTCGTACAAATATCCTGGAGTAACAGTAGCAGCTGTCTCTTAGGAGTATTATGAGGGTTTAATGAATTCGTACAACGAAAGCACGTTAGAATTCCTGTTGGAATTCAAAAGATAGTGAGGTATTATTATTTCTGTTATTATCCCTGGGATCTGAAAACTGAGGGCTCCATAGTTCTGTTGGTCTGCAGAAAGATTGTTTTGAGAATATCCTTCCACATTTCTGATTGTCTTTTAGGTTCTGTCTAGGAATGTGATGCATTCCTGTCTCCCAACCCACCATACTCTGCTCTACTTTTTCTTTGTTCTACAGCATTGATCACTTTGTAACATCTTATATGAATTATTTTTTCTAAAGTTTTTCTCCCTCACCACTTACTTTTTTTCAGACTACCACCATCAGCTCTGCAAAGTAGATTCTCATCATCCATTTCCCAAGCTCTGAGACCAGTGCAGGGCACATAGTATGCACCAGTAAATACCACGTGAATGAATCTTTGAATACATTAATCTAGCAGATTTATCCTGTTCTAATTACCTGTGGTGGGCATGCCATTGTATACTAAGGAGAAAATTCATCGGCTGGCCTGTCCAACAATGAAAGAGGCTCCCTCGGGAAGAAGTGCCTTTCTGATAACAGGAAATATTCACAGCATCTAAGGGATGTCAGCATGGTGAGATATCATGAAAAAGTATTCAAAGACTGGAAGGAAGCCTTAAAGCAGTTAAGAGTCTTTTCTAACGCTAAGAGTTGCTATTTTTATAAGCAGAGTTTTCTTAAAATGAGAAGTAGCCACAATTTTGGTATAAATCAGAGCTTCTCCAATGCCAATACATTATAGTTGTCACCACTCATTTTTTAACCACAATTCTAACTCAATCTTATTGGAGCATTGCCTTTTCTTATTAAGGAGCAGTCTTGCTAGTGGAAGCCAATATAAATCATTCTGTTTTAACATTCATTTATGGAGGGGGAAATTCTAGGACTCTATTCAATATATTAAGTACACAGCCTGCCACGTGCGGCCTCTGAATTGAAGTTGGCCCACTCAAAGTTCCTGCTGAAAGAGAATCCTTAAATAGTGTCAGACCACAGATTTGTCCTTATGATACACCCTGGCCCTTTACTGGGTAAATCAGATTCTATTTCAGGAATGTGACCAGATGTGCACACACACACACACACACACACACACACACACAGAGTAGGGTGCATATGTAGACCAAAAATGGGAAGGTCATGATATTACCCCTGAACTCTAGATCCCAAAATTTGCAAACTGGCTGCCTATGGGCCAGTTAAGTAACTGTTAGATGAGTATCATGTTGTCAATGTTCTTTTGAGTGACTTGCCAACGTTCAAAAAAAGCAGAAAAATTCATACAAAAAATATGGGGTTTTTGGTCTGCCTTGAAAACTCCAGAAGTCCTGGCAGGGATCTCGCTGCAGGCCAATGGGACCACAACTGGCTAACTCTTAGACGGGACACGTAGTTTCCAGTTTGCCACAATCCCGGCCACTCCCTGTCTCTCTTCCCACCCTGCTGCTCCATTTTCCTGCCACTCCTGATGCAGCTGGAGATGAGTCCTGGCCCTGTGAGGAGGGGCCAGAGCTATGAGCAAGCAGCAATTATGCAACAGGATGGCATGGGCTCAAGCCATCTTTCCCCTAGCAAGAGAACCCTTTTTTTTTTTTCAACAAAATTTTGCTCGGAACTGCATAATTTGAGCACTCATGAGGGGAAGTATGCTGCTGAACAGACAAGGAGGCAAGTGGGCATCAAGGTGGGAGAAGCAGAGTCTGCCTCTCTGGAGCCAGTGGAGTCAAAACCACCTTCCACTCCTGCTTTTCCAGAAGCCTATTCTCTCTCCTTTGTTCCCATGACAATGGCTCCCCACTCATCCCATTGCTCACTTCCATCCCCAAAGAGCCTAATCAGACCAAGTTGGGGAGGGCTTTGGTGACTCATCCAAAATTATATCCAAGGAGAAGGATGAGGTGTGATACCAGTTTCTTTCCCCCGGCTTGATACACTGCTTTGCTTCTGATTGATAACAACAATCACTTCAATTTGCAGAACCATAGCTCTGGATGCCTAAAGAGTCTGGTGTCCAGTGGTATGAAAAAAAAAAAAAAATCAACCAACCTGAAGTGCAGAAACTTAAATGTCCAGTTCAGACCACCTCTCATGCCACTTCTATGTCCTGATGTCTGCTGCCTTGTATGTAAGGTGAGGAATGACAACACATCCTTCTTTCAGTTTTCTTCTTTTTTGAGATAGAAAAAAAGAGGCTCTGAAACTGTAAGATCACTTGTTAGTATACAGTTTTCAAGGGGCACAAGGAAGTCTCCTAGACCTGTAGGCATTAAAACGTAGCTTGAGGTCCTCGGAACTGCAATCATAAAAAAAGTTAACATGGTTACTCGTGATAAATACCAACTGAAATATAGTACTTGCATAACCACTCACTATATATCCACAGAACTGTACCACCCATAAAACAGAACCATTTGAGAAATATGCTTCACCATATGTGATGTAACACCAGCGTGTAAAATCAGTGACCTTTGATACAACAGGAAGAGATCGCATACAAATGAAAAATGCCTGCCCTCCCTCACCTTCCTCTTAACAGCCAGTAGAAAAAGAATGAGTACCTCCAAGTTTGTTTTCGAGAGAGTTTCAATGATATAAATAAAAAATAGTAATAATTTGAATGCCCATCATTCTCTTCTTGAAAGAGAAGGGGATTTCTGGTTTGTCAGTTTTTACTATTATTCTTATCTTTAGGTATTGAAGAGTATGTGCCATTCTAAAGAGACTGGTTGTTAATTAAAACTGAATCTATTTTGAGAGTAGCTTTAATAAGCAACTCTTAAAATAAACGGAAATTTGGAGATCCTACCTGAGTTTCCCTGCGATGACCCTGATTTCAATTTTCTTTTGTACAAATTTCAAGCCATTTGGGCAGCCAGTATTGGGTGGTCACTTATTAGTGTCAAGTAGCAAAGATACAGCAGTGAGCAGGAAAAGTGAGGTTCCTACCACCAAGGAGCAGAAGACCAACAATAAACACAGAAACAATATTGTAAGAGATCATTGCAAGTACTGATGAGTGCTAGGAGGAGAATAAAATAGGTCACTATGGTGACCTGAAGGAAAAAGAGAAGTGCTTTGTGTTGTGTCATCAGGGATGGTAACTTTGAGTGAAAGTCAGATGATCACAAGGGGCACAGAGGAGGACCTGAGTCAGGAGGAAGCGTGGCAAGTTTCCGAGGTGTGGGAGGAGGCCCTATGGTCAAATCATTGCAAATAGATATAGAGGAAACAAGATAAGACCCGAGAAACAGCTCAAGATCAGATCCAAGGGAGGTCATAGAAGCTCAGCCACTATAGGAAGCCATTTGAAGGTTTTAGATAATGCCATCATTTGGATCTTAAGAGTCCTCCAGAGGTTCATAAAGAATGGTCACCAGTACGGTGTTATTGGGAGGTGAGACCTTAAGAGGTGAGACCTGTTGGAAGGTCTGTGGGTCATTAGGGATATGTCCTCAAAGGAGACTGTGGGACCCCAATTCCTTCTTTCTCTTGGTCCTGAATGGTCTAGCTCCACCATGGGCTCTCACCAAGATGTGCTTCTCTGTCACAGGCCCAAAGGCAACAGGGCCAGCGAACAGAGCCACGACCTAAAATAAGCCTTTTCTCTTTCTAAATTGATTGCCTCTGATATTTGTTATAGCAACACGATGCTAACTAACACAGGAAGCAACAATAGTCCTCTCTTTTCCATGTTTTTGTTTTCAAGAGTTTCACTCATCTGCAGTCAACCATGATCCAAAAACACTACATAGAAAATTCCAAAAATAAATAACCATACAATATAAATTGTTCATACCATTCTGAGGAGCATG